GGGAGCCTTAATTGTACTGTCGTATTGCGGCTCTATTTTGTGTCACAGGTTGTTTGTAACAGAGATGTCAGGAAAGTAATGAGCCTCCATCAACTAAACCACAAATATCATAGACTGTGTGTGGAATATGGCACAGCATTGAGGTACTACGTGGAAGCCTTACTGAAGAGATCCAGGACCAACCTAGTCAGACAAGCTGAGCGTTGCTGCCATGCCATCTGTTTGGGCAGATGTCCCAACGAAGTGGCCGACGACACGTGGTGTCAGCCATGTGACCGGGTGAATGAAGACACCGATCAAGCTAGCCACCATCGCAACGGTTTTGCGAGTCTGCGAAGCATCCACTCAGTCAGACAACAGTCCAACAAACAGTAGAGTACATCTGCCTATCAACTTCGACAGGACACTGGATTATGACTTCACTGGATGTGGTCCGTATGGGAACCCGATCGCGCCCGGTCAGCGAAATTTTATCCATGGGTATTGCTTTGAGACAGCTGACTCAGAGCGACCATGGATAAAGGCGTTGTTCAAAGGCCAGTTGCTCGGAGCTCGTTGCGATTTGCGCGATATTGAAGACCAGCCGGGCGAAAGGATGACGGGCTCGACTAAAACGCCGGGTCTTTGGTCCGAAAAATAGACATTCAACCTGACTATAGGCAAAGAATTGAAGGTTGGTTGAGGCTTCATTCTCGCAGCGCGCTTGTTGTAGCTGTTGCAGCTCGTTAGACTGCTTAAGTCCTGAAGGTACGTCTTTAGTTCACACTAGCCCGCCCACTTTCACCCTTGTCCAATGAACCAGTTCGCGGTTCTGAAGCCGACAGGGCTGAGCAAAAGAACTACTCACCGTCGTCTTAATCGCGGGAGCTGTATCCGCATTGCAGTTGAGGGTAACTTGTGACCCGTGGTATCTTTGCCACGGCCGCCCATATAAATTATCGAGGCCAACTTGGCGTGATTATGGAGAAGAAGCCATTAGTCATGCACCATCGCTGGTCGTCTTCAGTCAAGAAGCTAGGGTGTCAAGTCGGACCGTTCAAGAGTGAGCGGCGGTGGTTCGGATCTGCACCAATATGACCAAATCAGCAAGAGGTACTCACAAATAACCCGCACAATCACACGACTTGTAAACCACGTGTACTTTCAGAAGCTCTTCAATAGGCTCTGCCCAGGAGGACCCCATAATAAGCATTTAGATTGAAGCCATCTGACGGATATAAGGAGCTCAAAAACAAAATGAAATCCATCTGCTGAGAATAGCTAGGTTCTCGTAAATGACATTCATGGCATCGCAAAATAATGCCTTAAAATATAGCCTGATATAATACTTAGAGACAAATAGAGCTCTCCTCCCTTGCAAAGAGGTTGCGATATCCAAACAACCTTCCCGTCGCTAGCTGTAGGCTAGTCATACCTGATTATCTCTCTACGTATTGACAGGTCGATGAACCCGGAAGGAAAAGTGTACCCTTCAAGCTCGCTCTCGTTCGGTCCATCATATAGCAAACACATGGCAGGCAAGCTTTTCGACTTGACCGCAGCTTCCCAAACTCCTCGCTTCTTCGACTTTCGCCTGCTGTGTTTCGGAGTTTCGAAGGACATGATGTTGTATGGCGACTCAGGCGACATCGAGCTGGCCTCATGAGTTCTTCCTGCTGGAATAATTTGCCGCTGAGCTGCTCTGACCGTTGCTACGGATTTCCGGTAATGAAACAAGGGAAAGACTTTCGAGCCGCCATAGTTGGCGTCTCTAGGGAAATCGGCTGGTTATATATCAAACAAAAGTTTGACCACGCCTTGGTGTTATTCATCGATCTTTCTGTTACGAATCAGTCACGTTAGACACTTATGGTGATTTCAGGAACGCCACTTTTAATCACGTACTCGAAAAACTGATGCGTCACATAACGTACTTTCCGATTTGCCATAATTGGCGGCGAATTGAGCATACATTGAGCAGCCGACCGTGTCCTTGATTGTCAGGTAGTTCCACTAAGTTGTGAGGTAATTTCATTGAGTAAAGACCACAGGTCGTTCAGTACCGAACATGACCACGCGGTAGAGATAGCAGATTGGTCATGTTACTGTTGTCACTGCATATGCCACGTAGATCTTTGAAGATTCTTACATGCAAAAATTTCCGAGAATCTGACTCGTATAGTCTGAGCAGCAATGACTTGATTAGCTTTCGAAGCTGTGTATGCTGAGAAGAAAAGCCAACTCGGTCACCACGTCCAGGCTTGCTTGAGTAATTTGGAACGCCCGTAAAATGCAATATGATAACCAATATATCTTTCACAGTAAGCTCACTATCCTGTTTGGCTTTACGGATTGAGCTTTGAACTGTTCCCAAGTCGAGCGAGAGATCTGACGCTGCCGGGTCGACGCCGAGACTCACGACGATGAACATATAGCGACATGAAATGCCGCTAGTAGCCCGCGAAGAATGCTATGCACCGAGCGACATCAAAGCACACGCCTTATTGCGTGCCTACTGTGACTGCTGGTGGCAAGCTACCGCTAGTTTGACCTAAGAATCAATTTACGTTCTTGGCTCAACAATATCGTTAAGGGGAGTATATTCTGCAGGCACAACTACTCGATGCTTAGTTCCTATCTAGACCGATGATCACCAACACGCAAACCCTTTGGCAAGCACTGATTGATGGTTATGACAGAGTGGTGAGATAGAGCATTCCGGCTTTCAAAAAAGGCGCTTGTTCTTCGCACGGTAGCCCCAATTCGGAGCATCGAGTACATGATGTCTTCTTCTTGTCGCACTGCTCATTTCCGTTCAGCAGGCACTGGAAGCAAACCTTTCGATGTATCAGCAAAATATTTGCGTGATGGAATGGAGTCTCACTCACCGATGGAAGTTGCTCACCAAAGCATTTCGGGGCACTGCAGACACTGTCACCATCTGCGGAGGTGCTCACATGAGTCATTACGCCGACGGATCTACCCGTAGCCAGATCTGTGGTATCACCACGACGTTTTTTCCTCCGTGCGATCAAAGGATTGGTTGGCTCGCAAATGGCTCTATCAAGTTTACCGCTAGAGGGAAACGTCTGTTTGTGGTAAACGCTTGTTGATAAAATTTCATGGGCGAACTGGGATGAAAGCTGCCATTTTGACCGCTTATCCAACGTTTGGACGAAAGCCTTCCGTCATTAGCTTCTAGACCAAAGAAAGGCGCTCATCAGTCAAGCCACCATGAGAAGTGACGCCGAAAAAGTAAAAAAAAAAGAAAAAAAGGGAAAAAAACTCTCGCCGGACGAAATCGCTGCGTAGATGTACGCAATCTTTAGACGCACCTTATTCGTGCTGAGATTGTAGCGAATTGTTGACGGAGATGGAGTTGTATCTTCCCCAGTGTTGTGTTGAATCCACTGATAGATCTCTTGTAATGTCATTGCTCGGTCGTCACGACTTAAGAGAGCGCAATGGATTAGTGTATAGCAAGGTCGTCTGTTGCTTGTCTCCGCCGAAGCTGGCGCAGCCATTTTGCTGGATTGGTTGATGGTCAGATTGAAAATTGGAATCAAGCTTCCATTGCATCTGAAAAAGACTCGAATAGCTGGTGCGCATCTCACGTGCGTAGCGGAAGCTTAAGCATCACTCGACATTTCTGGTAGATTTATCGAGGTATTAAGTGATCAAATTGAGAAGCCTTGTTGTTATTTCGGGCGCTGTCTGTATAGTTGAAATCTCCACTCATCACTCGTTGACGGAGCAGGGGATCGTAACGAAGAACGAGGAGGGAAAAACAACAAGAAACAAGAGCATAACGATAGAAAGTAAAGAGTCCGCGACGTGAGCGAATAACCCATGCTGTCTCGATTCTCGGGCCGATGTGCGAGACCTTAGGTTTCAATCTTTGGTAGCAAACTCCCAACATAGTCAAACAGGAATCCATGTCTTCACTCAAATTGTAACGGCCTCTTGTATCGCTATCTGATGTTTACACTGAAAGAAATGCCCTGAAAGAGATCCCCTGAAGTATCCGCTTAACAGCACCTCATGATCTCCGGTTGCTGACCGAAGTCTCGAAAAAGATATAATCTACCATCAATGGTTGCTGGCTTGCGGCCCAAATGACTCGTTCTACAAACCCAACGCCTAAGCTCCACTTATTTGGTACGTAGGTGATATGCGATTGGTTCTATGGCACGACTCTCCTGCAGCTATAGCAATGAAAATCGACTGCGTGTTATGACGGTTACTAGCGTGAGCCACTTCACTTATAACGTTAGCTCTAATCAATTTCCCGGCGCTATACCTGAAGCCAGATATTCTCTCGTCATTGGCTAGCTTTCGAGGTATCCGACCCGAAGGGGTCATTGACATATTATGTCCGTTTTAGCGAGACCTGACGTAAATGTATCAGGTTCTGGCCGTAATGCACCCCAGAGACGAGCGATATGAGGTAAGGGTCACATTCAGATGTTGGAGTGCGATGACAAAGACAGCTCGATACCATCATCAATCAGACAAAAGTAGTTCCCGGTGACTAATCATGACATCAAATTCGTCGGCGAGAAATGGCACAGCGGCG